CTCTCGATACCGCAGCATTGGCGCTACACTGGCACCCTTCCCGCGGACCACATTGCGAAAAATCAGCTCCTGGGGCCCCAGCTACCTTGAAAATCCACCTCAAGGTTTCCTCCGTATCCCAACTTGACTCTCCTCCCCTGGTAGCTCTCCAATCTGCCTGGGAGCTCCGCAATTGGCTGTTGCGGCTCCCACACCCCTTGAATGGGTACTGGCCCCCACGGGCTTCCTTGGGCCTGGATTCATTGCAATCGGGTTTCCAGATTGCCCTCACCTGTCTTTCCCAATATTTACGCGCCTCGGGCCGCGCGCACGTCCGGCTGTGCGCTTCCTTGTTCCCCGGCATGCGCACCCACCCAATACCCCCGTCCTTCGCTTCACCTCTTCCGTCTGCACAACCCCGACTCCCCCCTCTCGGGAACTGCCACCGCCCGCGTGCTCGTTACTTGCTGCGTGTGTGCTCGATCCCCCCGCCCCATGCGCGCCCATTGCCTGCCGCCCTCGTGCCCGTTGCCTGCCACCCTCGTGCCCGTTGCCTGCAGCCCTCGCGCTCGTTTCCCGCCATCGTGCACTATCTTCCCGCCGTCTTGCGCGCGCACTCACTACCATCCAGCGCACTCAATCCCCGCCGCCCGCACGCCCGACCCCCTGCCCGGCGACCCCGATGATCCACCCTGCAATTTACTGTCTGACACCAGCGCACTCACTGCATCTTGCTGCCGTGCCCTTGTCTCCTTCCTTGCATGCTACCCATCCTCAGCGGTCCCTTATGCCGCAGCGTGCTCACTCCTCTCTCCGTGTTCGTGTTTGCTCCCATCCTACAAACCTACGTGCCTGCTGAGCCGGCTGCGTCCAATGTACATCCCCCTCATTTCTTCTTTTCGGTTTTCCCCCCTTGCTGCACATCTTCTCCATCTATTTCGTGTGGATGCCGGAAGGAATATGCAAGCCGTTAAATGTTTACGTATCTCAATGAAACCACAATGTACTATCATTTTCTATGTTGATTAATGATCATGCATTACCCTTGACATCCTTTGCGCCACAAAAAAAAAAACCTTTGAAACAGACAGGAAACGGTAAAATGAGCGAAATTGGAGGTGTTTCGGGTGTTTCGGCTCTTCGGAGTCACAGTTCCCGACAGGCGCTTAACGGGCGCCTATTCCATGTTCAACACAAAAAACCTCTCGGTGAGCACTTCCTGGCCATAGATTTGTGATCTAATACCATAAATGATGTTTAGGATGTTGAACTGTTGAGGAAAGAAAGTTGGTTGGAAGAAATTAAGATAATTCAAGAAGTTGCATAAAATCGACGGTGAAGCAGCCAACATCTTAGTGCAACCTCTACCCCATCCCATTTGCGACATTATTTTTTATTTTTATTTTTAACCAGCATGAATTTTGACATTTTCTGATTTGGAGGGACTCCTGGACCTCGTATATGCCCTCAGATATCGAGTATCCCGCAAAGTTGGTCATTTTCAACGCTTTCTTTGTGTGCGAGTGCCAATTTGGCCCTATGTCCAATGTTTTGTGTGGCTATTGTTCTGCAGATCGATTAAAAGTCCAGTCGACTCACCTCCGCGGGTATGGTTAATGGTTTGGAAAAATTCTGTCTCCTCAGAATTGCTCGCAAGTGCGGGGCGCAAATTTCCGAGGTCAAATTTTCTGTGAGCGCGCACGTCAAGCGCCCATCAAGCGCCCGTCCGGACGCTTCGGCAGCGTTACCCGGTGTGGACAACTGTTACATCTCCTGGCTTCCCCTATGACTTTCTCCCGTCCAGAGTTCTTTCTGGGGTCTCCTCGTCGTACGGCTCAGCACCCATTCTGTTTATACAGCATTTCAGGCATCCATGGCTCTCGTTCCAAGCATTCTTATCCCACCGATGTCCCGCTACACATCATTTCGCTCACCACGCGATCTCTCGCCGCTGCCTCCTTGCACTTCTCCTGGTATAGTCAAATATCGCTATTATCGCTTGGGAACCCTACAAAGCACTCTTCTACAACTTCTATGCACCCGCTGGGGACCGTAGCCCTCGGAACACGGCCGTTTCCACACAATGTCGTCTTGAGCATGAAATCTGAGGAAGACCCAGGTGAGAGTAATGAAAATCGGGGAGAATTGTGGCCCCAGGTGCGTTCAAATTACTTGGAATAATCGTTCGAGGCTCACATTGCATGATTGGCCCCATTCACATTTTGCAAGCAGTTTTATCCCCCCACGCATTGGCCGCGCTGCGCAATTTGTACAGATGTACCTCCCTACATGTGTTGGCGTGGGTGGTTTGCATGACCAAGGTGCACTGCCCCCGCGCTGTGGTTGGTCGACGCCGTGCAAGCGCACCCGCTCGTCCCATTGCGGCGCTGGTGGGAGTAGGACGAATGTGTGCAGCCGTGGCAGGACCAGGGATGGCGCCGGGCACCTGCGGTTGGTTACTGTACGCCTGCCGTGGCGTCACTGCTGGTGGGTGCGCAGTGCGAACGAGTGCCACCCCCGAAGCGCTGACAGATGCGGCAGCGCCGAGCGGCACAGGGGAGCGACTGCTCTCCCGATTCCCATCTGCTAGGGCTGCTACGTTTCTGTGGTGGGGCAAGGCTCCGGAGGTGTGGCGCCAGCGCAGAAATGGCAGCGACAACGCCGCCCTGCATTCCCCGCAGTGGGGTGTGATGATGGACAACGAGCGGCGTTGTGTGCAAGGCGCGAGGGTGGGGAAGGGCAACTGGGTGATGCTGTGCCTGGTGCGGCGTTGTATCGGTGCGACAAGCGGCACGCGCACTGGTGTGGTGTAGGGACGCAGCAAGCAGGTTTAGCAGGCGGACTGACTCGCGGCGCAGCGGCGAAGGGGAGGTGTGGCGCGGCCCGCACACTGAATCGCAGCGGGGCAGTACGGAACGTGGTGGTATGTATGAATGGAGCATCGCCGAGGCGCTGCCCGGTACGGCGGCATATGAGGCGATGTATACACTGTATGGGGGCTGGACGGAGCGTGGATGAGCGCATCGCTCGAGGCGCAGCAGCGCGGCGCCTGGTCGACACGTACAGTACACAATGCATCACGACATGCTGCGGGCTGCACAATTGCCCAAAGCTCAATCTCGACCTTGGGGACGGCTAACGTATGTTTCTCACCTGTGGGTACCAGCGGTAGCCCGCAAAGTAAGATTGCGCGCGTTTCGCAGAAACAGCATTTTGTGCCCGCGATCATTACCATTTGGCTTATCTAGACTCTTAATGTACCGTCCATAGCTCATCCATTTATCATTTTTTTTTCGGTATTTTAGCGGGATTTTCGATGTAATTTCGTCGTCGTCGTCGGCGACGACGTCGAGGCCATTTGATCGCATTTGATCACGATGTCAAGGGCATCTGATCGCGACGCCCAGAGCCTCGTGTTCATTGACGGCGACGGAGACTGGCTTGCAAATAAAGCAGAAACCTACCTGCCATGATATATCATATCGCCCGCTAACTGAGCGGTTTTGATATATCATGGCTCTACGGAGATTAGAGGCCCCTGATATATCACTCCCCCACACTAAGGTGAAATGAAGATGTGCAAAAAACCATTCGCTGTCATAGAATGACCTGACCCCGATTCGAACGAGGATCTCCTGCCAATTATGTGTATATCTTCAAAAACTCCTATGCATAGCAGGTGTGTTGCTATACACCACCAGGTCTTTCCTCCCCTCTTCTGCTCCCCAATCCCACAGTACAATTTTTGTCCTGGTAGACGACTCGAATATTCAACATCCAAAGATCCATCTCCCCACTCCGCGGACCATCGAAAAATCAAGAAACCAACCCCAAACTCGGTACGTACCGGATACAGCTGCACATCGAGAAAAAGCAGATACACCACGGGCAGACCTCGTAAAAAAAAACCGCAATGTTTTCCGCGAATGACCTGACCCCGATTCGAACGGGGATCTCCTGCCAATTATCTTCGCTCCAAGAATATCTAGCGCTAGCAGGTGTGTTGCTGTACACCACCAGGTCTTTCCTCCCCTCTTCTGCTCCCCAATACCACAGTGTGATTTTTGTGCTGGTATATGACTCGAATATTCAACATCCAAGATACATCTCAATGCCACTCCGCGGACCATCGAAAAATCAAGAACCAACCCCCAAACTCGGGTACGTACCGGATACAGCTGTACACATCAAGAAAAAAGCAGAGACACACGGCAGACTTCGTAAAAAAAACAGAAACTCACTGGAGATGACCTGACCCCAATTCGAACGGGGATCCCCTGCCAATTATGCGATTGGAGCATAAGCATCCATACATAGCAGGTGTGTTGCTATACACCACCAGGTCTTTCCCTCCCCTCTTCTGTTCCCCAATACCACAGTATGATTTTTGTGCTGGTAGACAACTCATTTATTCACATCCAAAGATACATCTTGCCTCTCCGGCGGACCATCAAAAAATCAGGAAACCAACCCCAAACTCGGGTACGTACCGGATACAGCTGTGCACATTGAGAAAAAAGCAGATAAACCTTGTACAAAAAACCTCAATGCTCGACGGAATGACCTGACCCCCGATTCGAACGGGGATCCCCTGCCAATTACGCGATTGGAGCATAAGCATCCATACATAGCAGGTGTGTTGCTATACACCACCAGGTCTTTCCTCCCCTCTTCTGCTCCCCAATACCACAGTGTGATTTTGTGCTGGTAGATGACTCGGATATTCAACATCCAAAAATACATCCTTCCCACTCCGAGTCCGGACCAAAACGACCAACTCTCAAACAGCTACGCACGGATACAGCTGCACATCGAGAAAAAAGCAGATACACCACGGGCAGACCTCGTAAAAAAAAAAAACTCACCGGAAATGACCTGGCCCCGATTCGAACGGGGATCCCCTGCCAAATTATGTTCGCTGCGCAAACACACCATGTGTAACAGGTGTGTTGCCATCCACCACCAGGTCTTGTCAACCCTACCCTGGTCCCTTGCTTTATCCCACACTTGTGCAGGCCTTTCTTTTATTACTTATTCTCAATCAAACCTCGGCAGCTAAACCACACATACTTCGCACGTAGTGGCCACATCGGTGTTCCCTGCCTTGAGCTTAAGATTGGAACACCACAGGACCGAAGAAAGTATCATAGTATGAGACGCAGCTATCAATATCTGAACAAAAACACCCCGCCGGCAGAACTTGTAGAAAAAAATACGAAAGTCTCACGTCTGACCATGACCTGGCCCCCGAATCGAACGGGGTTCTCCTGTCGAATTATCCTGCAAAGAATTATGTGCAACAGGCGTATTACCATACACTACCAAATCTTTTTACTCTTCTACTGTCCCGCCTTATCCCCCTGTCCAGAATCAAAGACTCCCAGGCTTCAATGTCGAAACAAATGTCTCGCCGCACTGATCAACAAATCGAGCAAATATCGTCATCTGCCTACAGCCATACAGATCAAAGCACGCACCTGAATACCCCCGAGTTGGGGCAAAAAAATTCCGGAAATTGATTATGACCTGGCCCCGATTTGAACGGGGATGTCCTGCTGACGGTATATAAGATCGGAAAAAATGTAGCAGGTGTGTTATCTTACACCACCCGGTCTTGTTCTTTCTATTCTCATCCCATACCCCTATCCCTTAATTACACCCACCCCGCATCCAATAACTCAACTCAACAAAAGTGCACCGTGTCACACACAACTAAGAGCAAAATTCAGGAACTTTGGAAGGAGCACTGCCTATTGTGTAGACCAACAGTGTGTGAAAACACTCACCTGATCAGTAGAGCTCAACAGAAAAAATGATACTCTGGCAGACCATAACCTGGCCCCGAATCGAACGGGAATCTCCTGCCAAATAGCAAGCCGAGATGGAATAATGTACTTATAGCAGGTGTGTGAAAATACAACCACCAGGTCTTCCTACTCCCATTCTTGTCCTCTGCTTTATTCAACACTATTATTAGGCCTTCCGGGTCTCGATCAGCCTCGGTAGTTTCTTTCAACCACATCTAGAATGTCCCCATTTCCGTGTTCCCTGCTTTGAACTTTGGAACACTACAGAACCGAAGAAGTAAGTGAGACACAGCTATCAGAAGAAAACACCTCACCGGCTGAACTTGTAAGAAAAAAATATGAAAGTATGACATCTGGTGATAACCGACCCCGAAATCCACCACCAGGTCTTCTTACTTCTATTGTCCCGTCTCATCCACGTGTCCAGAATCAAACACTCCTTTCGGAGATGTCAAAAATCCAACACCTCGCCGCACTGGAGCCGGGTGACCAACAAATCAAGCAAGTATCACACAAATATCATCATCTGTCCTATGTTTATACATACAGATCACAGTACACACCTAAATACCCCAAGTGGGGCAAAAGCTTTGCGGAACATATCATGACCTGGCCCCGATTCAAACGGGGATGTCGTGCTGACAGTGTATCACAAAAACTATACATAGCAGGTGTGTTATCTTACACGACCAGGTCTCTTCTTCTCATCCTCATCCCATATCCTATGTTATGATTATCCTTGGCAACTCAGAAAGTGCACCTTGTCGAATGTAACAGCTGAGACAGGCTACTTATCCCATACATTGAAACACCAGAACAAAAAGTGGTAACTTTGTTGATCCACGACCTGGCCCCGAATCGAACAGGGATGTGCTGTCAAACTACATATTATTCAAGCTTGCACCTTTATGCATGGCAGGTGTGCAACCAAACACCACCAGGTCTTCCTATTCCCATTCTTGTCCATTCAACATTTTTATCAGGTATGCAGTCTCAATCGGCCTCGGCACATATAAGTAGAATGTCTCCATTTCTGTGCTCCCTGCTCTGAACTTTGGAACACCCCAGAACGGAGGAAGTAACATGCAACTCAACCAAGAAAAACACCCCACCGACTGAAACCTGTTGGAAAAAATATGAATGTATGACATCTGGTGATAACCCGACCCCCGATTCGAATGAGGATCTCCTGCAAACTCTTTGACTGTTATCTCTGTATAGCAGGTGTGTTGCTATACACCGCCAGGTCTTTCCTCCCCTCTGTTCCCCAATACCACAGTATGATTTTTGTGCTGGTAGATGACTCGAATATTCAACATCCAGAGATACATCCTTACCACTCCGAGTCCGGACCACCAAACGACCAACTCGCAAACAGCTATGCACCAGATACACCCGCACTCATCAGGGAGCAAGCAAGTACCCCATGGGCTAACCTTGTAAAAAAAGACCACATTCATTGTCAATAACCTGGCCCCAAATCGAACAGGGATCTCCTGCAAACTTCTTTGGCTGCCATCTAGGTGTGCTGCTGTACACCACCAGGTCTTTCTCCCTCTTATTTTCCCCAATACCCCAGTATGATTTTTGTGCTGGTAGATGACTCAAATATTCAACATCCAAAGATACATCTCAATGCCACTCCACGGACCATCGAAAAATCGAGAACCCAACCCCCAAACTCGGGTCCGTACCGGATACAGCTGTGCACATCGAGAAAAAAGCAGATACACCATGGGCAGACCTCGCAAAAAAAAAAATTAATGCTCATCGGAAATGACCTGACCCTGATTCAAATGGGGATCCCCTGCCAAATTATGCTCTAAACGGATATGATGTATGTAACAGGTGTGTTGCCATCCACCACCAGGTCTTGCCACCCTTGCTTTATTCCACACCTCTCCAGGCCTTTTTTTGTTACTCTCAATCAAACCTCGGCAGTCAAACCACACATATGCATACTTTGAACGCGGTGGCCACATCGGTGTTCCCTGCCTTGAACTTTGGAACACCACAAAACCGACGAAGTATCATATGAGACGCAAGCTATCGATATCCGAGGAAAAACACCCGCCGGCGGAACTTGTAGAAAAAATACGGAAGTATCCGTCTGACCATGACCTGGCCCCGAATCGAATGGGGCTCTCCTGCTGAATAATCTGGCACTGTGTCATGTGCAACAGGTGTGTTACCATACACCACCAGGTCCTTTTACTCTTCTATTGTCCCACCTTATCCACCTGTCCAGAATCAAAGACCCCCCAGGCTTCAATGTCGAAACAAATACCTCACCGCACTGGAGCCGGGTGATCAAAAAATTGAGCAAATATCATCATCTGTCGTACGGCCGTACAGATCAAAGCACACACCTGAATACTTACCCCCGAGTTGAGGCAAAAAGTTTCCAGAATATGACCATGACCTGGCCCCGATTCGAACGGGGATGTCCTGCTGACACGGTATCACAATTGGCGAAAATATAGCAGGTGTGTTATCTTACACCACCAGGTCGTGTTCTTTCTATTCTCATCCCATACCCCATGCCTACCCAGCATCCAATAACTCAACTCAACGAAAGTGCACCGTGTCACACACAGCTAAAAGCAAAATTCAGGAACTTTGGAAGCAGCACTGCCCATTGTGTAGACCAACAGTATGTAAAAACCTGATCAGTAGAGCTGCTGAACAGAAAAAATGATACTCTGGCAGACCATGACCCTGGCCCCGAATCGAACGGGAATCTCCTGCCAAACGAAAAGCAGAAATTGCATTAATGTATAGCAGGTGTGTGAACATACACCACCAGGTCTTCCTATTCCCATTCTTGTCCTCCGCTTTATTTCCTTTTTCGGGAAGCGAGTTCCATTCTTGATTCCATCAACAATGGGACTCGCGTAATTATCCAATGCCGATACCTGGCAATATTTGGTGCCCACTCAGCTGCTCAAGTTGCGAGTATCTGAGCCATGGAATCTTTAAACTGGAAAGTATATAGATAGTACAATTGAAGAAAATATTGGAGTTGAATTCATCAGCTGCTATGGTAATTGCATCACGAACCTTGTGTTTATTGGCATATGCTGGGCTGTTATCTGCTACACGGCCTCCACCATAAGCCATTGCAGTCGAAGGTGCTGTTTTGGAGGTGGAATTGTTAATGATATAGAGACTAGGAATAAATTCAACCATACCATTGAGAAGTTTTTGAACTGTGAGACCCGTAAATCCTGCTGCTTGGATGGTTATCTCAAGCTTCCTTGTGTCTTTGACACTCAGTTTTGTATGCAGGTGAGCAGGGTGATTATAGGGGTTGCGTAAAAATCAACGACATGTGTATAAGCTGTTGATTGTTTTGAGGCAGCCGTAAGAACAGAGCTAATCCCACGTACAACAATTGCCCAGTCCAACTTGCAGGTAAACTGTGAGAACACACTGCTCGTTGATATTGTCATCTGTGGTCAGTAATTTGCCATTGTTCTTCATTAGGTAGTCCAAAGTATTCTCGTTGATGTTTGGCGGGACTTCCCAATAGATATGGTCCCAACACTGTTCTCTGGACCAGCAGGAACACTCAACAAAGAAATGTTTTCCGTACACAGATGGCCCCTGAGTCTTGTGCATTAGTATTAGGGTGACATTTGGCAAGCCCGACTTACATTTGAGTGTGGGATCAGAGTCGCAACACCTTCACATTCCACCTTGCATTTCGACCTCACAATCCGGCCACAAAATCTAGAACAGCTCAGTGAAAGACTCCTGAACAAAATTGAATGCACTGTGAGATGATTCCCCAGACTGAGGCTGCTTCTTTCTCATTTGCATCCAGCTCGTGGTTCCAAAGCTCTTGCATTACCTCCATGTCCGGCTTGTACCGCTCACACCCCGGAAAGAGCTCTGGGTCGATAAATTCACAAACATTTACCCCATTGCAAATGAAGTGGCAAGAGCAGCAGTAAATGGGCTGGGTTGGATTGGGACCTAGATTGAAAACCCAGATATCACCCTTTGTCTTTCCGGTTGAGCCATGCCAGGACTCCTGGTCCTAGGGAATATGCGAATATGTGCAAACAGGGTAGGACTACATTTGACACACTTGTAATTGGATGAATGCATCATGATGCAATTACCATAGCAGCTGATGAATTCAACGCCAATATTTTCT